ATATATATAATCGGTATATATATTTATTGGATCAGATCAATGCATATTCGAATTTGACCGAATATCTGATTCGAATCATCCAAATTCAATTCGATTATGCCAAATCTCAAATTCGAATTAGGATTTTCGAATACCGCTTACAAGCCTAATTGAACCAATACTATTGGTTTTTTGAAAATCAATAATCGAAAACAAATTGAAGCCAATTGGTTAACTGGTTGATCGGTTTGGTTAACTACTGATTTGATTTGTTAATTTTTTGGTTTTTTGATATTTATAATATAGATTATAAATAAATATATAATAAAAATAATAGAAATACATATAAAATATTATATTATAAATAATAAATAATATATTATATATAATGCATATATATATATATTCATTTGTAATATATAAATAGTATAAAATATATTTAATATACATAATTATACATATAATATATAAATATGTGTATACCGGTTGGTTTGGTTAATCACCAATTTTTTTTTTTGTTGGTTAGTCAAAAACTAAGGCTACAATCGAATCAAGGTCTAATCGAATAGTTTTGGCTCGGATTCAATTAGGCTCAATTCAAGTTCGGTTCTAATAGATATTGAATCGAATTTGGATCTTAGGGTAAGTTCAGTTAGCTATTCAAGCTCAAGCTCGATCAATAGAAAGTTTGGCTCGAAAGCTCATAAGCTTGGCTCGATCAACACATACATACATATATACATACATACATATTTAATCAAATCAAGTTCAAGCCCAAAAATATAGTTCAAATCAAATTCTAACCATAGTATTTTAGTCAAATTGAACTAAGACATGCCAAAATTTGACTAAGCTCGGTTCGATTGCACCCTAGCCAAAACCGAAACAATACTTTTGATTTTAAAAAAATACTGAACTAGCTGATTTAATTAACCAGAATTTTTTATTTGGTCCCGGTTCAATTCGATTTTTCGTTTTTGATGATCACTCCTGATCGCAAGCGTCAAATCCTGCATATGTGCATCCGGGTTGGATCATCCAAATCCAAACCTACCTCGAGTTAAAGAATGAAATCCCTAACTCGACCCTACACCAAAATAATTAACCGATCCATTTGACATCTCCCATACCATTGTGACGCTTTGGTTGTGAATTTGTGATCTGATTAATATCGGATTGGATATAATTACCGCCCGCCATAATATACGTTATGAAACAGGTTCAAAGAAGATTTTTTTTTTTTTGATAAACAGGTATAAAGAAGATAATTGTCCAGGTGTAGCGGAGCTGCTTTTGGATCCAATCGGATCGAATCCGTCGGCCTGGTCCGGACCCAATTCAACGATAAACCCAACCTAGACCTGTCGACTAGAATAAAAGGATCAGATGATGGAGCAGCCATGAGCCACCTCTTTAAAATATTGGCAAATGCCAAACACGTCACGTCACGCAACTCGGTCAGGCCACTGTACTATCTACTTTACTTATGTATGGCAAAGTTATCTCTGAATTCTGAACACCTCGGCCAGCATTCTCTAATTCACTAATTGGTTGTTTGGTTGACATATCTAATTTGCATCATTCTGATTTCCGACTACCAATCCGTTACTGATACCAAATTTACGGTTGCTGATACATGACTTTGGTCAGTGATGTAGGAAGAGAAGCACAGTAGCAAGAGAAGAAAATGACAACATGGCATCATGTTTGTCAACCGAGTCTGGAGTCCGGACTCCGGAGGGAGTTCTCCTGTATGGCAGGGGGCGAGCAGAGCAGCTTCGGACCGTTTTATTACGTAACGCAAGACTGGCTACATCTGTAGATATTTGAAAAACTGAGGTCATTGATATTACCTGATACTTCGACGAAACTCGAAAGTTTGTATTAATCATCTACGACTACGAGGGGCTTCACTCCACCGCAGTCCTTCCTTCAGTTCAAACCCAACTGTAATAAAGGTCGGTGAAAACCCTTTGCTCCCATCCCTTTCTGACTCTGTAATCATAATCGATGGCGTAATTTTGGTGAATAATCGTAATCGATGACTGGGTTGTTGTTGGCTTTCCTGTCCTGCTTTATACTTTATCTTGTTGGATTGGATTTCCTTCCTTTTTTTGTACAGTGGATTTTTTTCCTCGATGATCTGTGACTCCAAGCAAGGAATTGGATTTTCCTTTTTTTTTTCTGTACAGTGGATTTTTTTCCTCGATGATTCTGATGTTTATTTTCCATTACATTTCATTTGTGGGTAATGACTTATGGTAATTGCGCAATTCAATCATCATACGTTTCTATTAAAATATTAGTTTATTTTAATGTTTTCTCCCTTCATGTGATCATTTCGTTCTCGCCCCAGATCTTTTGTTTTTTTTTTTTTTTCTTTTTAAATTTCTTCGAAATGGGTTTATCCTTATATGACTATTTCTTTACTATTATTTTAGATTTGATTTTGGTCTGCTTGTTGTACACTCTTCAGACCAAACCCACTTCTTATCAACCCATTGTTTCTTTTTGGACTTAAAACATCTGATTTGGAGCTTCTACTCAAGCTTTTAATCTTCTTCTTATTGCATTCAGATTATGCCTTTGTTTGATCATTCTATGTTGTGTTTATCCCTTCAAGCAGAACCTTTCAGAAGAAAGCCTAAAGGGCAATAGTTTTTTCAATTTGCAGTGAGAAGGAAGAGCAAGCAGTAAGGGTCTCTTATTCTTCTCTTTCCCCTCTTTTACATTAAACTGGTTCGATTGATTTCTTTTTGTTATTGTTATCGCTTTCCTATTTGAATTTTGGCTCGGTAGAGTGATCCTGTAAATTGGTTTTGATTTTTCTGTTTGCTGTATTTGTTTCTGGGTTCTATTGCTTGGTGTTTTATTTTTGATTTTAAGGAGCAGTAAAGGGGTTGTTGTTAAGCTTTTCCTTCGATGGCGGAAATTGTTGGTCCTCGGGTGTACAGTTGCTATAATTGCCGAAACCATGTTTCGCTTCACGATGACGTTATTTCTAAAGCTTTTCAGGTGAAACTCTTACACTGGTTTTCCTTTTATTATAAATTCTTAACTATAAGATGTTTGATGATCTTCCTGGAATTTTCAATGTTCATTGCCCTCTTTTCTCTTGGTTCTTATATCTTATTTGATATTAAATTTTTTGATTTAATCACTGTGTTGGCGTGGTTTAGGCAAACCTAGGACGGCAGGGGTTGAGGTAGAATTCGGATAAAACATCAATATGCTGAAATGAAAAAATAAGAGTCTCATGTATGAAACTAAAATCAATATCTAAAGTGCCTATTTGGAGTTTGGATTAAATGATTGGGAAGAAACGAGATGCAAGCTTGATTGGCTTTTTGTTTTTATCAAGACATGATATTTCTGATGTATACATAAATATCAAATATACATTTCATTTTTTTTTTTAATTTTGGGTTCTTTGCATCTCAATTCTGTCAAACATTTTGGCCAATTTTTATTACACTTGATATAAAATGTTCATTTTAGGGGAGGAATGGTCGAGCGTTCCTGTTCTCCCATGCGATGAACATAGTTGTTGGGCCCAAAGAGGACAGGCAACTTATGACTGGCCTCCACACTGTCGCTGATATCTACTGTGCTGATTGCCGTGAGGTGTTGGGTTGGAAGTATGAACGAGCTTACGAGGAAAGCCAAAAGTACAAGGAAGGGAAGTTCATATTTGAGAAGTCAAAGATTGTCAAGGAAAACTGGTAGCTTTTCATCTGTTTCTATAGTTCATCTGTCCTAAATTTGATGCAAGTTTGTCAATGCTTTCATGTGTTTATTTTGTACAGAAAATCCTTGTCAATTGAAGATTCAGTCATTGTTTCTTCCTGTGAATTCTTGTTGTTCTCCTGTATCTGGATGTTTTGTATCAGAAACTACTAAATTCTCTGTGAATAAACTTGTTATGTTGTTGTTTGTTCACCTTTAGGTTTCAATTTCTTACATTGTTGAAATTTTTAATAAAAATTTTCCTTTACTTTATGTCTGCTGCATGGATCAAGAATGCAGATTATATGGTGTTCTAATATATTTCAGCTAAGAAGTCTATATTTGTATCAATCCATCTCTTGGGTAGGTTGGGTTACTGGGTAAGTTGCTTCTTGGATATACTGATGGAATTTTTTAATTCTCTCATATTACTTTACTGCCACATGTAATATAATTGGAACTCGATTCACTTGATTTATTTGGATCCAAACATGGAAAAAGGGGAAGGTGTTTTATATGGGTTCTGTCAAAAGATCTGTTGCAGTTCTTGTACCAAGTTTTGAGCTTGATCTATCACTAAAGGGGTTATGTTTAACAAAGTATGGCATAAAATTAGGTGCATCACCTGTGTAAGAAACATGGGGCTTATACCTCATGAGCACACATCTTTTGGTGAATATTTAAATAATTAACTAAAGAATAAAATATAGTAGTTACATAAATCATTGTTGGACCTGAAAATTCATTAAAACTCAACATGATTTTGGCACAATTATAACCTGAAACATATTATTTAGTTTCCATTTTTCAATTTGTGTATCATGTTAATGAAGCATGGCTTAGGCATGAAAAAGTCATTCACAAAATTTGAGGCATAAACCTCATGCAGTGTCATACTTCATACTTAAGCTCCACTTTGGTTATGGTATCTGGTGTTATATCTTGCTTCAATGCTTATGCCTCAAGAACGTTAAGGAAACTGCTGATATCTACCAACTTTTACAACATGCCAGGACTATATTGGACCAATTTGCTGCCTTTTACCAAGGCTAACTCACCCAATATTATCATCCAAGTGTATATTCTTGGACTAGTGTTAGGACTTGCTGTGCATCTGGATGACTAGTTACTATGTGGTAACTGGTAACCTTTTGAGTTCTTATGTTGTAAAATTGTAATACTAATGATGATATGTACTAGTTACTATGAGCAAATATGGCTAACATCATCACTATGAAATAAGTGAAAAATTATGTTTGGGGGGGGGGTCTACTATTAGCTTCATTGGAGAATGATTTTCATATACAACCATAATGATAACTTTCAGCAAATAAAGGTACTCATATTTTCCATAGCTCAGCTGCTATGTAGATGACTAATGCTGCTGGTTAAACCAGTTGAACTTTACAGTTGTTTATTCATGAGCTTCAAGACTAATCCCATATCGTTGCAAGTAGCAAATTTATGGTGGAGAAGTTTTAGGAAGACCAGTGGGTATGAATTCATTTGAGGTTGGTTACTGGGTGTTGAATCTGTCCATAAGGTTCCAGAATCCAGGCCCCAATTGATATAACATATTTATGGTGTTCAAGCTTTGGGAAGGCCCAAGACCATGGATTCATTTGAGGTAGGACTTTAGGAGTTAATTTATTGATGGGTGCTAAAATTAAATTCTAGTTGTAGTGTCAGGAACATGAATGGATCTGGAAAGATTTAGCTTCAAAGTGACAATATATAGTTTCTTGGTTGGTTATTTCCAGTGAGTCTGAGTTCTCATAGAACAAATTCTGATGAGTGCAATCAATTGGTAGGATTTACACAAACTGAGGACTACAATCATTGACCAGGTGTCATGGTAAGAAGCAGGGCTGTTTTTGCAGATTTACATACCAAAGGAAGTTGGGCTGCATGTTGTAAACCTCACAGTAGGAAAATGTAATTATTATAGTTCCCTGGACCACAAGTATGTGAACTTTGAGCATGGCTCTTCCTAGATGTGTCACAAGATGAGGGAAAGTCCATTGAGATTGTTTGACCATGTGGACTGAAGTGGTATGAAATTAAGAAAGGACTTGCAGTTTCACAGTAGATACAACTCTTGGTAGAGTGCAATAGCAGTGCAGAATTCATTTAGCAATTGCCAAATGGGTGACACTATTTTAAAATGTCACATACTCACATTCTTTGGTTTTATTTGGCTATTTGCTCTCTCTCTTTCTCTCTCTCTCTCTCTCATGAATTCATTAGAGTTAATCTATAGAGGAGCACCAAAGTGTCAGGTTTTGGATTAAACTGGAACAATACAAAAATATCAGCATGGTGTAATGCACAAAGATGACAAACAGATGATGGTTTAAACTTTTATTCTGAATGAAAAAATGGAAAGGGTATTATAGCCTAATTAAATTATGAAATTGCTGAGCTTCTGAACAAAGAACCTATTGTACTAGAGGTGCTGAATGTTACTTTGACAAATCTATGAGTGGAATTTCTTTTGCTAGGACTGGGGATAGAATTGGTTGAAAGGATTTAGACAACCTTAGGGCTGCAATCCCAGGCCTCAGTGTAAAATTGTAAATAGGACCTTGTTTCAGCTCTACCAAGGGAAGGTGGGTTCATTTTGTGCATTACTTAATAATCAGAACAAGTGAATCCTGTTAACACTCTTTTACAGCATATGTTAGAAGGAAGCCCCTAATTATTTTAAGACCTCCACAAAAAGAGTCAATTCCAGTATCACATGATGTGCATTACTTAATAAATACGAACAAGTGAAAAATGTTCACACTCTTTTACAGCGTATGTTAGAAGGAAGCTTCTAATTCTTTTAAGACCTCCACAAAGAGAGTCAATTTCAGTATCACACCATAGTTTTCAAGGTGCCAAGGTGAGGCTAGGCAGGGGGGTGCCTTGTTGCCTAGTCGCCTAGGTTGGAACCTAGGCATCACCTAGGCGATGGATTTTTTTTAAGTAAAAACCATGTATCCTAGGGTAGTTCCCTAGGTCCCATAACCATCTTTCCTTGATAACTATCCATAATTTTCATAAGAAAAGTATAATCTTCATGTTGGAGTTTTCATAATTTTCATAAGAAGAAGAAACGTGTTGATTAGACAAAAATTTAAGTTCTTCCCTTACTTATTGGTTCAGGTTTTGAAGTTTTTGAGGGTTCAATACAGTGGTTAACAATGTTTATGTTGATTAAACCCGAACGAATAATAAAATAATAAAAAGAAATTAGTTTATAAACACAAAAATGAATATTTTAGTTTAATAATGTCTATTTTGTAATTATAATCTCAAAAAGTTAATAATATAAAAGTATTTTATAAAGCAGTATATAGAACTGCTTGGCGACCGGGCGAGGTGAGCCTCCAAGGGTGCATTGTCACCTAGGTGTCACCTTGACAACTATTTATCACACTTTCTTGGACTTTCAAGTAATGCTGCTTTGAGTATCTCTTCCTACACATTTGTTCATTACTGCCACCATCAAGGTAATACAATCCACCTGCTTCATGCCCTCCACCAATCTCATCCTCGTCTTGAGATCCTAAAACACACAAGAAGAGGGGTAAAAGGTTATGGAACAATTAAGAGATTTAGTCAGTCTACTAATAGGCACGAGGTTAAAAGGAAATTTGGGTACATATAAGACAAAGAATAAAGATAAAGATGTGAGGTCAACATCACTAACACCACAAATGGGATAAGTAGAACCATTTGCAAGGGTTATAGTTTAAGATGTGGAAGACTGGGAAAGAGAAGAAAACACACCTGGAGTCCCAGTCATATGATCAGAGGCTCCAGAGTCAATAATCCAATGTGAAGGTTTGGATGCCAAACAAGCCATACTTGAATGAGCAAGAGTGGCTGTATTCTACTGAGAGGATGTTTGAACAAATTTCTCATAACAGAAACTAATAGTATACTTGTGGCGTCTGATCAGCTTATTGGTTTTCACTACCACCACCACTAGTCACAACATGATTGGCCCAAGTATTGGGTGGACCATGTAAGTCATAATAGAAACTAACAATATGTCATTCTAATCCACAATATGTGCACCTTCTAGGACCATTAATTCGTCCTATACCACAACTTCCTCTTGAATCTCTACCTCCACCATGACCACCAGTGTGGTTAAACCTAGGACCACCTTGGTTCCTTGGAAATCCACGTCCACCTCCACCACCTCTATTCTCACGGCCTCCCCCTTTTGCCACCACAAAAACAGACCTGTCCCAGAGGGCGAAATGCTCCGTAGGTTCAATATAAATCCTTCGGAGTCAGGTAAACACCTCCTCAAGAGAGGGAAGAGTAGATATGCCTAATATTTGTGTCCGAATGGGTTCATATTTAGGTTTCAATCCCACTAAAAACCTTGTCACATCAAGCTGTTCCCATTGTTTCTACTGAATTTTAACATCTGAAGTCAAAGGGTGATACACATTAAGCTCATTACTAAGATTTCTCATACCAGCATAATACTCCTCTAGGCTTTGATTTCCCTCCTTCAGGTTAAAGTACTCCTAATAAATTTGGTAAACTCTAGTGGTGTTATCTTGGCCAGGATAAAGTTTCTTAGCATGGTCCCGTATCTCTTTGGCCGTATCCAAAAACATAAAATTCACACTAATTTTAGGCTCCATGCTATTCCACAACCAAGTCATAATCTGTGGATCCTCTTGTTCCCACTTACTATACCCCTGGGAATTAGAAGAGGGTTTCTCCTCCACATGTTTCAGCATCTTCTTGCCTCTCAGAAACACTTCTATCGACTCAGCCCATGGCACATATTTCTCACCATTTAATTTGATGGAGGTCATTTGTACATTTAGGTAATCAAGGGAAACCGTAAGGAAATCACCCTTCACTATTCAGCACTACACCACACACCACACACAATTAAACAATTGTTGCTAAGTCACCACTGCTGTCATAGGGTTCAGCACCAAAAATCCTACTGCTGTCAAACACATTCGGGCATAAATAGGGAAAAAAAACAGTTCATATGCATACCTACCAATCAACACTGCCACATAGTCGAAATCCAGTCCAAAAGGGATAGAATACACCATGCTGTCAGCCAACTATAGAGTTCTGTTCACACCAGTCCACGAACCAGCCCTCTTTGTGTCATCGATTAGAGGGTTTCTAGCAAACCACCAAGACGAACACCACCACAGATTGGAGTCATGGTTACTTCCTAG